GTATACATTGAGATAAAATCTTGTCAATTGTACTTGAATCACTACACCTGAAGTGTAGGTTGTATATGATCGGTTCCAAAATAAAGATATGTTTAATAGATATGATATTTGGCAAGATAGTGCAGTTAACACTAATAGTGTAATAGTATATAAATACCAAAGTGAATGAAATACCCTAAAAGTGGTATAGATATCTGAATTATTATTATAGATGGCCTATGATGTAAGAAAAATTATGATGGTACCAATGAAAAATGTATTCAGATATCATTGTCAAAATAGCATGCAAATTAAAATTGTACCTTGAGGAATTATATGATGATACCGGTATATGATGGAACCGATAAATAATGCATATGCATGATATAATGGACTAGTGAATAAGGGATCTGGAATATATGTCCATTTTAATGTTGACATGATGATAATAATAAAAGTTTATCATGGACTAGAAGTCCAAAGAAATATGGATTGTTAAAATCCACACTGTACAGTGTCTTGCATTATTTCGAGTCTTATTTATGTTCATATGCATGTGTGAGTCTTAGGTTTTTGGATTATTCAATGCATATGTTCGAAGTTGTAAATGCATTACTCATTGTATAAGTTGTTTATCATATTTTTATATATCATATTGCATGCTTTATTTTCTATATAATAATTATGGTGTATGTCAACGTTCATTCAAAGTATAGTAAGGCATATTTACAACTTTGATGGAAAATTAGAAAGAAATACTTATGTTACTATGGGCTTATACTTGTGATGAAAATATTGAAAACGTCGATTTAATAACATGTTGTGAATCATGTAAGAAGAGTTCTTGAAGAACTTATATACGACGTTTTTAAATAATCAGCCCTACAAATTTTTGAATATTACAATTATCAAACTCTTGAAAAATTTATGTGACTACATCATTGACATCTCAACCTGAAGTTTGGGTATATAAGAGTTAGTGAGATTTACTATTTCTATACGTAGAAAAATTATCGTGTAGTTAATTATGAAACTTCTAAAGAAACGGGATACTTATGCGTGAGACTGTTTCTTATGGTCTAGAAGAACCATGATTAATGTATATAATTGCATATGTTGTATTATAATTCATATGAGATTGAAGAACGACATTAATAATGTCAAGTTTTGTCTATTAATGAATGTTTGATCAAATAATAATTATCAATTTCTATTATTAACGACTTCCAGAAGAAGTCATAACTGCATAAGTTTAATTTTTAGAGATAAACACAAGTATGGTGAAATGAAGACACTTCACATGTTCACGTGAAGACCCGAAGAATTGAAGATGCAACTTCAACTTAGGAGAGTCGAAGATCAACGGATGATACTTTACTTACTACATATTAGAAGATATCCAAACATATTGGATTCATCGTTGCGGTACTAGAAGATATCAAGTACAGTTATGTATTCAACAGGGGGAGAAAATACGCGCTGCACTCTTTTTCCCTTGACCATGGTTTTGTCCCAAATTGGGTTTTCCTGGTAAGGTTTTTAATGAGGCGGCATCTCGAGCGTATTACGAAGAATGATGTACTCTTTTTCCTTCACTATGTTTTTATCCCACAGGGTTTTTCTTAGTAAGGTTTTAATGAGGCACAATTTTCGATAATGGACATCCAAGGGGGAGTGTTATGAAATATTTGTGCATATCCATTATCCTCCTTTGTATCATTCCGAAATAATCTAGATCTAGGGTTATCCAATCAAACCCTAATATATTGTATGTATATATACACCTTATCATATGGAATAAGATACACATATTTATTCTCTCCTCAATTCTTCTCTTATTCCCTTTATTTTACAATATATTTTATTATTTTCATATTCTCTTTCTTCTAATTCTCTCCACTACTTTTGTTTTTTTTTTTACTATTTTTTATTCTTCCACCTACCCCACTACGTATGGAGAAATGGAGCAAATATTTAAAAACAAAGGGAGTATGTAATCATGAATCTATAATAAATTACACATTAAAATAAAATTCACGACTAGAAAACAGGCAAATAACTACGGAATTTTTTTCGTCGGAAAGGAAACACCCTGTTTTCCGTCGAAATCGGTCGTCGGAAAACCTTTTGTAGGAAAAACGGCCTTTTTCGATGGGATTTCCATCGGAAACACTCTTTTAACGTAATTTTTGACGAAAATCAGTCCATCTGAAGTGATTTTCAGGCCCGGAAAAGTCCGTCGAAAATTCCGCCGGATATTTTCGACGGAAATTCAATCGGAAAATAAATAATAAAAAAAAAAACCTGCCCCGCCACCACCTGTATCCCCTTCCCTCTTAAGCCACCTTCTAAAATCACCTTAACACCACCGCAATTCACCCCACCCACCACCGATACACCACCGTAATTTACACCACCAACCACCACAATTCCCCACAACCCCTTACTTACAAAGACCCACCACCACAACCCATAACCAATCCAGATCCACCCACCTAACCCAAACCCCAACCCAGATTTACCAACCTAACCCAAATCCACCCACCTAGCTAGCTAACCCAAATAAACCAAAACTTGACCGAACCCTAACCAAAAACCACAAATTTCTAAAAAAAAAATCAAAAAAAAAAGTCCCCATAAATTATCAAAAAAAAAACCCTAAAATCTAAACTTCAACAGTCACCACCATAGATTTAAAAAAAAAAAAACCAAAAAAGGACAACTAAAATAAAAAAATTCAGAAAAAAAAAAAGATACATACCTGAATTTGACCACACAAAACCTCGAAATTAAGTCTATTAGGCCAAATTCGACCATGAAAACTCTAAATCTAGAGTTTTCATGGTCGAATTTGACCATAAAACCTTCGTTTAGCACCGTTGATGTTGACGTTGATGTCTGTTTTGGTGTTGTTGTTCACGTCAGTGTTGTGGCAGCGGGTGGTTAGTGTTGGCAGTGGTAGTGGATGGCGGTGGTAAATAGAAAGAGGGGGAAAAGTAGATAATTAAGAAAGATGATAGGAGAGAAAGGCGAGAAGAAGGAGATTGAAGGAGAACGAGAAGAAGAAAATGAGGAAAAAGAGGAGGAGATTGAAGGAGAATGAGAAGAAGAGGAGGAAAGAGAAGAGGAGAGAGAAGGAGAAGATAAACGCACAAAGATAAAAAGAAGTAAAAAGAGAAAGAGAAGGGGGAAAGAGAAAAAGAAGAGGCGGAAAAAAAAGGCAAGGTATAAGGGTTTTTTAAAAGCTTTTATTTTAAAAAAATAATATTCATAAATCCGTCGGAATATATGTAATTTTTCGTCAGAATACATTTATTTTCCGTCGGATTTTTCCGACGGAATTGTTGAATTCATCGGAATATCCGACGAAATAAAAATCCATCGGAAATTTTGACATTTCTGATGGAATAATGGGTCCGTCGGAAGCAGTCCGTCGCTATTTCCCTGTTTTCTAATAGTGATTAAAACCAACAAAAAATTAAAATTTATCCTTAAATGGGTTAAAGTTACCCTCAAGCAACCGTCTTACAATAAAGTTAATGTACACTCGCATCACAAAAGACTTATTGATAATCATATGTTTAACACAAAAGACAAAATTTATAGTGTTTTTTTTTTTTGAAAAAGGATTGATTCATAAATAAAAAATCATACGACATCAATAAAGTGATTTTGCAAAATGATAATCATAGGCTATGTTTAAGAAGCTAAAAAGGGAAATATTGAGGAAAAAATAACATTAATTACACCGATCTACGCGTGATTTTGTAATGAATTCCCAACTTAATTCCATTTTTAGGAAGTGTATTAAATGCTTATATGTAGCCCTTAAGCCCTAAATGCTACATATATCATTACCCTTTAAATATAAGGATTTTTTGACAATTACCACCTACAGTTGTTGTTGTTTTAGGAATTACCGCACGTTTTTTTTTCATTGAAATTCACCATCTACATTTTATGAAAATGATAAAACTTCCCACCATTTGAAAGATGACGTCAGGTGGGGCCTACAAACCCGGTCTTCCCCTCATTTTCCCTACATTTCTTTCCTTCCTCTTTCGTTACTCTATCTTTCTTCTTCATCTCCATTCTAATTTTGCACAAATACTAAAATTAAATTGCTAAATTAAAAAAATTAGGGTTTCAAAATTCATTTTTCTTGCTTCAAATATAAAGTTAGGGTTTCTAGCAATTTGATTTCAAGTTATGCCTTAGATGAAAGTGGAAGAAGAGGGAACTGAGAATCGAGTGAAGAAGAAAGAAAACGGAGGGAAATAGCAAGGATGGCATCATCTTTGAGGTGTTGGTTAAAATGGTGGGAAGTTTTAGTGTTTTCATAAAATGTATGTGGTAAATTTCAATTAAAAAAAAAATTGTAGGTAGTAATTTCTAAAACAACAACAATTATAGAAGGTAATTATCAAAAAATCCTAAATATAATAAATACATGACAATTGAATCAAATAAGCACATCCTTTCAACAGAGTTACGATTGTTTTTTTCAAATTGTACATTCTTCATACCCTACCTCTTTCATATCGTTGTGATTTACAACCTTCTTTGACGAGGAGGTCTATCAATTTGTTTGTAGCCGTAAAGAAAATTTTCGTCTAATTCTTCATCTGATTGTGATATAGATGAGGGAATATTTTTCTTGAATATTAACAAAATGCTCAGAATATATACAAGCTAAGGCCTTTAATAAGGCGTAATAGTAGCCTAATTACAAGGAACTAATTGATAGCCTTTGAGTATAAGATATACATTACAAAAATATCTACAAGATATATATTTAACACACCCTCTCAATCGAAGCGGGAGGTCTACGAACACTGAGACTATCCCTAAAGTCGTCAAAGCCTCCTCTTGAGTCAACATCGACCGAGCCTTATAAAAAGGAGTAAGAGGATTACTCTGCCAAATTAACGTGCCTACTCCTCGGTAAGGCTTGGTGAGTCCCCCAACCATTTGCAATACCATACGATTGTCAGTAACTGGAGCCCCAACGTTTTTTTTAATTAATCCGCAAGGGACTTGATACGTTGGCAATATGCCAAAGCATTTGGAAAATCCTCCATAGCAGTAGAAGAGAATTCATGTTCTAGAGCAACAACACGGGAATGTTGGTTGTCTTGGAATATATCATGCAATCTATCCCAAGCTTCCATGGCCGTGGCATCGGGCTCGATTATGGTCTGCAATAAGTCACGAGAGATTGTAGAATAAATCCATGATATAACCATGGCGTCCAAGGTTGACCAAAGTCCTTTCTCTTCATCAGTAGAAGGAGGATGAGCCTTGGTTTTAGGAGGGATTATATGATCCAGGACCTTGTGAGATTTTGCGTGAATTTTAAATAGCTCTGCCCACGAAGAATAAGAGACGTTCTCCATCTCAAGAACAATGGGAACACTGTTTTTGATGTTGGTGACGATAAACGCAGGGTGAAACGATGATTTGTTATATGACATGGTTTGCAGCAAAAAAATAACAGAGAAAAGAACAGAGAAACAGTGGGCAGAAAGCGAAAGCAAAGGGCAGGCGGAAACGAGAATTAAACCCTAAGCGTCTGATACCATGATAGATGAGGCCATGAGAGATTATTTTTCTTGAATATTAACAATATGCAAAGTCAGAATATATATAAGCTAAGGCCTTCAATTAGGCATAACAGTAGCCTAATTACAAGGAACTAATTGCTAGCTTTTGACTATAAGATATATATTACAAAAATATCTACAAGTTATATTTAACATATTGTAATTGAAGGATTAACCCCTTTTCTCGATCCCGCACAAATCTTTACCCATGAAACAACTTGTACTATACTAAACTCAAAAAACTAGAACAAAACCCACCATAGAGACATTTATTACACTCAAACCCTCGATAGGGGTACAACATACTACCTTTAAAGAATGTAAATTTATTGAATTCAATAACAAAAGCATAAATAAACTAAAGGAAAATGTTCAGAAATAGCCAAATTTCCGGAGAAATTTGATTATTTCCTATCTATGAAACACTTTTTTTTTTGAAGAATTTTAGAGAGAAAAAAAATAAAGAGAAAATGATCGGTTTTTAGCTTAGTGATATCCTAATTTAAATGATCGGTTTTGGTTTTTTGTATTTTCAGCCTTGCAACGTGCACCGCCTCCCCTCTTCGGCCGTGTCAGTTCCTCACCGGCCTTGCTGGCGGCTTGCCGCCGGTTTTCGTCTCCGCTTCCCCGCCGTGTCTAGGCCCCTCCGTTTTGTCCGTCGTCGCGACGTTGTGTTCGAGAACGAGAAGGGTGAGTTATCTCCCTCTGAGTCCCTCGCGTAGGGCCGTTCTTAATCTGGTGTCTCCAGCCGTCGTTGTCGCGGTTCAGGGGTGTGTGGGGGTTTGGGTTTCTCGGGCGGGTATTGGCGGTCCGGGTTTTACTGTCAGGCGACATGTGGGTTGGGTTGGTGAACCTCGGAGCTTTGGTGGTTGTGCTCGGAGTGGCGGCGGGGTGGGTTGTTAGGGTTCTGTTCGTAGTTCTTGTTTTTAAGTTTCTTCCTGTTTTTTCTATTAGTGGTGTGTGTAGTGTTTGGGTATCCTGTTTCAGTCTTTGTGTGCTATTTGGGTTTGTTATTTTTTCTTTTTGTGTGGTGTGTTGGTGTGCTATGAGGTGTGCAGATCGGTGTACCGATCTTCTGGTGCAGGATTTGAGCCGGGTTTGTTGGCTATGGGGCTTTGGTTTGATCTTCTGTTGGTTTGGGCTAAAGGGTTATGCTTCCATGCCGATATCCGTGTTTAAATCGGAGATTGTCTTGTTAATGGTGAAGTGTACGACACCAATTTTGATTTCAGGTCGAGGAGTACAGGATTCTGAGCCAATGAAGGTTCTCGTCAGAAACTACAACATATTGTCCGACCCCCTTGCAAGAGGCGGCATAGGACGGCGTTATATGAGCCAAGGGTATTTCAGAAAGTCATTTTGCGCGTGCAATTGTAGTTTCCTTTATTTCGAACTTGTAATTGGTTCTTTTGTCTTTGTATTGTTCGATTACGATTTCTTATGTAAGTGCCGTATGACTTATTATTAATGAACTTTAATCTCCCCCCTTCAAAAAAAAAAAAAAAAAGGACATAAAGAGAGATGGTAAATTTGGAAATAATGGGATTCTAATCCGTATCAGAAGCATAAGGAGCACGTGACATGACCCCAAGTCTACCCATAAAAATATCGAATCAGTTCGTCTTCCTCAAAAACAGATTTCTGAAAATTTATTAAAGGCGGGCGAAGCCGAACCTTTGCACCACTTTCTCTCTCCTCCTCTGCTACTCAACTCCCTTCACTCTCAGGTTAATTTTTTACTTACTCTCTCTTCCTTTCAATGCTTCTGGTTTCAATTGCTTCTAATTTTTCTTAATTTTAATTTTATTTATCTCCATTAAAAAGGATTAATTTCACCGAATTTGTTGTTGTTTTTTTTTTTGAAAATTTATGCTTCGATATGCTTTGTCTTGCATTTATTTTTTTGTATGTTGTTAATGATTTTTATCAGATCAATTGAGAGGTTTTGCGCGTATATTGCTCTAATTTTCTAATTTTCGAGAAAATTGATTGCAATTTTTGAAGAATTATGTGGTGAAGTAAGGAATATTGTCTTTGTGCCATTGGGTTTTAGAATTTAGGAAAAAGGGCAATGCTTTAGTAAGTGAAAATTTAGGCCTGAAGTTGATCAATTAGGGCTTAACCCGCAATTTTTTTTTTTTGGTTGATTTGTTTTATTAAGTATTGATGTTATGCAATAGGGAATTGAAGATCAATACCAGAAGAACAATTGATGACTAGGGTTTTGTTAATATAGGGTAGTTTAAATTGATGCATGTGGTATGTCCCGGAAGACGGCGGAGGGTACCAATTAATCTGCATTTAGGGGTTCCAGTTGATAGTGAAAAATAAACTTTATGGTGTTTAGGAGCAGATCTATGTTTTGAGTATATGGAAAGAGGGTTATGTAGGGTGCGGTGTTTATATTAGTAGTGTTGAATGTCGGTGTTTATAAGGAGTAGAAGTAGAAGACTTGATTTTAGGGTTGTATTTGCTAGGACCCTTGTGTGATGGAAGTGTTGGACTTGAAAAGCTTGAAATTTGTGTAGAAAGTAAGGATATAAATACTATCAAGCTGAAATATAGAATTACGGGGCGAAGGTATATACTTTATATTTGTTCAAGGTTTCTTATGGTTTAACGCAATACTTGTACAGTAAATTATTTGTTTACCTGTAAGCTTGATAATGTGAATTTTAGTATAAGAAGGAAAATTATCTTAGTTTGTGACAAGATTTTTTTACCCAGGATGGTGTACATTCTGTAAAATATTGGGTCTAGCTAGACGATTTGTCTCTTCACGTGCCTCGTTTCCTGGAATCAGGAATCCAACTATAAGGCACCCTGTAATTGATCCAGTTCAAATCTTTTATTTTTACCTTTTTAAACTGAAGTAGATGATAGACTGCAATAGGTCATTCCCTCTTGTTTAATTTGCAAAACTATACTAAGTGGATGACAGTCATGGCATCACTTCCTAGTTTAGTTTAAAAATTCAAGAGAAACTGATTTTATGAGGGTTCCAATATTAAACTTATGTAGAGATATTCAACTTATTGTATAAATTATTAGGTCCTTGAGTAGAATAATATCACTCCCTTTGTCCCAAATGAGCTAAAACACTTTGACTAGGCATCCTTATACAGGGGAAGGGAATGAAGTATTACGGAGTATGAATACCCGATGAATGAACGTACACAAAATTTGGAAGAATTTGTTTCAAGCATTTTGAAATGTACAAAAAAGCTAGGTGTTTCTTTTATTTGGGGCAAAGGGAGTAGTTCATATCGTACACTGTTCCTGATGAATGGTGTTTTTTTTTTTTTTTAATAAATTATTTTTATCGTCGTCAATTGACAATTCATGGGCTTTAAATGCTCACTGATAGCACTCATAGAGGTGATGTATGTGCAGATTAGTTTAAGTAATTACTGCTTTCGCTAAAGCTCTGAAATATAGCTACATTCTGAGAACAAGGGTTGGTCCACAAAGCATGGTTGGGGAGGACGTCCTACGACGCTGTACCTCAAGTGAATCAGATGATATGAAAAGTTTGGATTCTATTTCCATCATCAAAAATAATGCTGATGGATCTCCGACAACTGTCAATAATGTTGAAAACGGCGTCTTTAGCATTGACGATTTAGGACTGGCAAAGGAAGAAATTCAGGGCACTCAAACCATGGCTGAAGGCTTCAACAAAGATCGAACTTTGCAGCCACCAATAAAGAGGTCTGAAGTGGTTGAAACATTGTCAGTTGGTCAGTTTTCAAAGGTGAATGTTATTCAACCCAGCAATAATGGTGGAATTGGTTCCTTAGTTGGTCAGAATGAGGAACTTGGAACTGACAAAATCAATGGTAAGTACATTTAGAACATCCAGTATTATAGCTTGAAACAATTGGATCTGTTTGAAATGTTATGATACAGCAAGGTCTTCTTGCCTCCTGGATTAATCTCACTTTGTTTTACTGTTAATATATCAAGCCATGACCCTTAGGTGTTATTGATTTCTGGCTGTTGCTGAGACATTATTGAGGGAAGCTGATATGATATTCGTAGATTCTCACGTGAATGTTGGGTCTATGTTCTTTTTGCATTTTTTTTTCACCAAGTTGTTCTTAGTAAAAAAAATCCATTTTTTGGTAATCATTTTTATTTTTCACATTGCTTCATATTTTTTTGGCAATCATTATTTCTTATTACATTGCTTCATATTTTCAGCACATTAAATCAAAGTCAGCTTGTATAAATCTTAGGTTCATGCTCGGCAATGTGTTTTGACATTTCTTTATTAATGGTTTTTTGATTATATGAAATCTTTGCTCTTTTTTTTTTTTGTAATCATTATTTCTTATTACATTGCTTCATATTTTCAGCACATTAAATCAAAGTAAGAGGTTCATGCTTGGCAATGTGTTTTGACCAATTTTCTTTATTAATGGTTTTTAGATTATGTGAAATCTTTGTTATTTTGTAGTATATTATTTTGCTGTTGACCCATGATATTCATTAGTATGACTTATATTGTTTTAAAGTAGTCTTATATCATAATATTTCTTTAATGCGGGTTTGTCACCATTAATAGGTTCTAAAACACCTGAAGATGAATGCAATAACAAAGAGTCCTCAGTTCGTGTAGTTTATAGTTCCTTACCAAGGTTGGTATAAATGCCTATGATTTTGTTGGAACAATATTTCTTACTTCTGATATACTTTTTCCTTTAAACTTTGATCTATTATCTTGCAGCCACAGCAAAAGAAAGCTTGAGGAATTCTTACATCAGTGGTCTGAGTGGCACACTCAACATTTAATGTCAGCTGAGGTGAGCTTTTTTCTTCAAACTATCAGACCTGTATGATGAAATCAAACTAATTTATTTACTTGGGGGTTTACTTTCACTTGTCATCTGAGATCTGACACCAGGCTCTTGAATGTATGACCATTTCAGGATCCAGCTTACTGTGTAGAGTCTGGTGAGGAAACTTACTTTCCTGCATTACGTGTTGGTTCGGAGAAGCCTTTGGCATTGGTATGTTCTCTTTCTCTCATCCAAGTAGTTTAAAACCTTAAACCTAGGTGCTTTGGTGTAGGACTTCTAAAGTCTTGCCATTTACGTTTAAGGAAAAGACTTATTTCTTATTTCAGTTACTATAAAATGCTTGAACAATCATTTAGCTGGATGCATATGATGACCCCCCCCCCCCCCCCCCCCCCCAATTTATGTAAAGGTGAAGAGGTCTTAGTGGATTGTCTTTTTGGCTGTTTTTCTGGTGATTATTACTTGCTAGTTAAAGATTGAGTGACAACCATTGGTAAACTTATTCATTATCAATATGACATTTAAATCAATTACTTTGTATGTAATCTAGAAACTTCCATGTCATGTATGTTCAAAGAACTTTATGTTCTGTAAAAGCGTCTTGCTGGAGTTTCAGCCTTTATTAGGCAGACACTTACAAATCCAATCTTACACAGGAATTAGTGGCATCCCCACTCACTAAAATTTACTGTTTATATAAGGTTTCACCTAACACATATTTTCTTTTGGATGCTAGTCATTTACGATGGATGGCCAGGTCCAGAAAAGGCAACGGAAAGAGTCATTATCTGTGAATAATGATTGCTCGCCATTGTATGATCGAGGATATGCTGTTGGTTTGGCATCTGATGGGGGGAATGTTGAAGATAGGTAAGAATTCAGTGAGGCCTTTATGTCCAAAGTAGGATGTTATGACAAATACTTTACTTATTCTTGCTTTTTGTGAGTAGAAAAGTGAGAAAAAAAATTGATCTAAAAATTCGATTTGGATTTGGTTCTATAGATATGCTTTATGCTTGGTGTTGCTGCTGAAGTATGGCATACCCTTGGATTATATGTTATGTGTGTCTGAACTAGGATCTTATGATAAATGCTCTACTTTTTTCCTGTGTCTAGTGTGGTAAGCGAAGGGAATTAAGGACTAAAGATTTGAGCTAAAATTGAATGTGAAAATAGTTCTGTAGACAAGCTTGGTGCTTAACAAGCCTGCTGTTGGCAACCCTTGAATACATGAAGTCATGAAGTATATATGTTATGATAGAATTTTTTTATATCTGAAGTCATATCCTATTTAAAGGTGGCTATTGGTATGTACTCTTAGTGACGTGATACGTAGTACATTGGATTGCGTTGTTGAGTTTAGACTATTTATTCAGTCGTCTTCTGTGAACCTCTGGAGGCAAAACAGCTGAATATTGTGCTTACTGTTGACAGCATTCCTTTTCACAAGTTTGGGAAATAAAATGTATGATTAAGATTGTTTGACTTGTAATATCTGACTAGGAAACCAGTTTGTTTAGCAGATTGGACTCATTGCAGTACTCAATGTGTGTTAGTGAAAAGCTACACATATTTTAGAATATTATTTGATGGCTATGGCTTGTGATATATATGATTTAAATAAGGAAAATAATGTTTGTCCCTGTGGTTTCAGCATCGTAGATATGCGTGAAGCTCCTCGCTGCTTCAATTGTGGTTCATATAATCATCCTCTCACTGAGTGTAAAAAGCCTCGTGATAATGCTGCTGTAAACAGTGCCCGCAAGCAATTTTTAAGCAAAAAGAACCAGAATGGTCGTCCCCGTGTCCAAACTCGGTATTACCAGGAATCTGCTGGTGGCAAGTTTGAGGGGCTTAAACCAGGTGCTCTTTCAGCTGAAACAAAGAAGTTGCTGGGTTTAGGGGTGAGAGCTCACTCTTTCTATTACTGAACTATGGAATGTTTGTATAAGGCCTTTTGCGATATTCTTTTGCTGATTAAGTATGCTTCAGGTCAATAAGCTACTCTGTAATTTTTTGATGTGTTACAGGAGCTTGATCCACCTCCATGGCTTAATAGGATGCGTGAAATTGGATATCCGCCAGGGTACATAGGTAAACAGTTATTTATGCCTATTTGAATTAGATATTTTTATTGATTTCCATATGCTAGGATTAGATTATATACTTTTTATGTTTGTGTTTGTTTGGTTGACATCCAAATACTTGGGAAGAACATCTTCCTAGGAAGTAAAAGTTCGAGGAGTTTTTTTTAGTTAGCATGAGTATAGGAAGTTCCATCTCCCACTTAATTGTGGATGTAGTTTACCTAGTCCCACAGGCCAAAGGTACATAGAACTTTTCATGGGAATTTTAACTGTCTAGCAATTTATATTGCTCACTTCTTAGGAAGCGAAACTCCTTAGGAATAGCAAATTTATGGGATGTTTAACTTTCTACATGCGACTTAATGACCACTCAGATTAAATAAAGTAAAAGATTATATCAAACTTGGTCCATGCCAATTCACCCGAAGACTACTGTATTTAATTTTATTTTAAAGATCCTTTTGCAACTATTTTTCATCAGATGAAGATGAAGAGGACCAGCCTTCAGGAATTTCAATCTTTGGTGATGAAGAAACGCAGAATCTTGATGGGAAAAATGACCTTCAATTAGATGTTGGAAAATCCCAAAAGAAATTTATTGTAGATTTTCCTGGTATTAATGCCGTTATACCAGAGAATGCAGATCAAATGAAGTGGGCAGCACCTGTAATTCCAGCACCTGAGCATGCCTGGAACCAATCAAACAACAGATGGAATCGTGCTCGAGATTCTCTGAATAATGGGGTTTTCCGTGGTGGGTATGGGCAGGCAGGGCTGCGGAATCACATAGAGCCCCCATATTCTCACTTTGGTCTCGGATTAAGTCCACCACTACCTCATAATCCACATCATTATTTTCCTAGAGAACCATTCAGCCCGAGAGGTCTCTCAGTTCCTGGAGGCCCACGTTATGAGAGTCCAGGTGATGCACCGAGGCCTTTTCTGCATTATAACTACGGTAGTATCTGACCTCATTCTCACATATCCTGCTTAGTTATGGTAGCTTAGTTAGATGGAAGAAGGAATCAAGTGGTCTGCAAAAGTGATTTAATTCATCTTAGATAGATGTAGTCATCATTGTCATCACTGAGACCGACAGAACAGATCCATCAATTATCAAGTGATGCAATTTTTCTGAGTAAGTTCCGATCCATCGTCAATTCTACCCAAAGTAGGATATCCCATTTTACCTGTTGTGTATGATATGAAATTATGAATGTAGTTAAACCTTTGTTGGTTCATTCATGTTATGTCATCAAATATTTTAACTAATTTTACGGTACAACTTGGTTTGGTATGGTCATGTATGCTCAACGGTAAGTGGGTTCACCCAGAAGTGCTTAGAAGTAACTGCTCTTATGGTGGTTGGTTCTTTTGATCTACAGTTTGGTCATCTGTGAACTTGTTCTGGCCCCATAATTTTGTGTATCTTACGCATGACCGCTGTTTTCTTAGTTTCTCATTTTCAATTTTTTAAAAATTTTGTACTTGTTTTTAGTGTTAGTTTATTGTATTATATGGTCATCAAACTATTCACAATTATAATATTATTATTATGACCATTAAAATCAACGAAAATTGACCGTTGTTACGTATGTGTATCTAGCACATGTGGGGTGCATTTGATGGTCGTCACCGCCATATGATCACCTTGGATCCTTCATTCGTAATTTATTATATATATTTCATGTTTTATTAAGAGCTTACTTTATTCAATTGTTTGTGGGTAAACAACTTTTTTTTTACTCATTTATAGTATTCTTTTTGTTAGTGTTTTTGTATAAAACTCCTTTCAAAATGTGCATAATGTATTTTGTAAATTTCGTTTAGTAAACTCTCTACTGGACCATTTGATTTACCAGTGTATTATAAGTTTGCCAAATTAGGTGTTATTAATCTTGGCTATGCAAGTTTTTGTTATAATTTGTCATGGGAGAGTCTAATGAGCGACTTTTGGTTGATCTTGCGTAATAAATGTTTGATGATGATAGGGTTATTTATATACGGAGTACAAAATATAAGAAGCTTAATAAGAAAATGAAGATTTATTAAGTATTAATTAATAATACTGATTGATGCATGGATTTGTCCAATTTTCTACATTATACGAAGTATTGTTTTAGGATATACAGGAAGTTTCTGATATACCTCTCACCATTGTATATTTTCTTTATTTCAAAATATTGCTACACTTAAATCAAAAAGCTCTCAATTTTTTAGCTCAAGTGTTAAAGTTTATTTATTTATTTATTATTATTTTTTATTTAAAATAAATTGGAAGAAGTACATTGTAACAATAAAAAAAATTATCCTTAATGAAAAGTACAGTAATGACTTAAATCTATTTTCAAATAGTGAAAACATGTTGAAGATGAATGATAAATTTATTGATAAAGTTCCAAAATGTATAATTATAAAATGGGTAAATTCTGATTTGGTGTTCGAAAAGCTATGATCCTTTAGTAAAAAGCTTCATGAAACGCCGACCTAGGAGAGAGAAAAAGACATAGCTTGTGGCTCAAAGAATAGCATATACTCCTAGTGCATGATTAAGTTGCATCAAGTTAATAATAACACAAGAAGAAAAAAGATAGAGGAAAACAAGGAAAAGAGGAGACAACAATTAAGTGGGTTAGTCATTATTGATATACGTGCATTAGTGCTTCATGTTTCTTGTTTGTGGACCTTTTTTTTTGGGTATTATTAGAGGTTAATTATACTGTAATATTACTGCTAATTAATAATTAATGTTGGGATTAATTTTGGGATGATCAAAATTCGGGAGTCCTAAGCTAGCTAAGTAGCTAGTCTTTGGGTTCTGTTATTGATGGTGGGTATGGTTTTGGTGTGTTTTTACCTGCTCTTTTTGTAGGTTTTAGCCCTTTCCAATGTAAGTCAAGTATCTTTAGTCAATTTTATTTTTCTGTCTTTTATTATCTTTTTCTTCATCAAAATTTTGCTTGTGAGTTGTGGCTGGCATAGGGTGCTAATTTTTCAAACTTGATTGAGTAGGATTGTGGGAGTGATGGTGAAGTGAGGCAAATAAAAATCAACTTGTCGAGAGATTGTTATACACAGTACACCCATGAGTATTTTGTTCTCTGATGATTATTTTTCTTTTAACTATCAAATGAAGAGTAAAAATTAACCTTGTATTAGTTGGGTGTACTGTATACCTGGGTGTATATAAAATATTCTACAACTTGTAAGTTGCTTGAACTCTATATTGAATTCGAATGAAATTACCCTAGCTTGAACTTGAATCGAAATGTTAATTAGTTCAATTGATTTAACTCGACGCCATTACATGATACGTTACTTTTCTAAAAAAACAAGACTATTTTTTTTTTGAAAAAAATAAATAAACAAGACTTTTTCGTGCTAATTGAAAATAATTTCCCTTGTGTTAAAGTGTAACATATTTCTCATACGGTAAACTATTTCGTACTAATTGAAAATAAGTTCTAATAAACAATGCTAAAGGCATACGAATACTCTATAATAAGTTTTGGTGTGTATGATTGCCTTCACAAGTATCTATCTTAAGTTGTTCTAGTTAGATCAAACCCCATTAGAGATAATTTAGGATGAAAATTCCCCTAACCTTTTCTTCCCCACACTCAAAATATCTAGTCCACTAACCACGACATGTTACAGATTATGCCTAAAGCCTAATAGACCCTTCTCCTTACCCAATCCCAACAAAAAAAAAAAAAAAAAAAAATCCCGAAATAAAAAGAATCATACTGACATTTTAGATAAAAACAAAATAAACCACTAAACATTTTTCATTTCTTCAATACCTAGTCAGACTGACATAATAGATCTTCTCATAGACAAAAGCTTAAACATGTTTCTTTTTACGACTTTTATTTTTGTTAGATCTATCAATATATATATATTTTTTTAAAAAAAGCTACATATAACAGCTAATACTATGATACCAAGTATACAACAGTAGTGTAGTAGAAACATTAGACTTTTTTCCTTTGTTGGGTCCCTTTAACCGAAATCATAACCCAAATGCGACACTTCCTTTGTCTCCTTCAATCTTACTATTTCCTGAATTTCAACTCTTTTCTTTCTTTTTATTCGTTTTCTCTCTCTTCTATAAAAGTCCACTGTTTTTCTAAAAAAATGTCCTCTTTTTTCTAATTGTCTGCTCTTCTCTCTTCTGTTAGGTGGTGGTTGCTCACCTTCATTCACTCCTTTTTTTTCACTTACATTTTTATTTTCCTTATAAACTACCTAAGTAACACCTACAAATTCTCCACTTCCATTGTATTTTCTCATAATAGTGTAATATTTTCGTCTTGTTATTCAAATCTAAGGAAATTTACAAAGATGAGGACGATTATGTCGTCGAAAGCTCCTGGAGAAGCATCCTTCTCCTTCTCTAGAAGATACTTCAATTGGCGGAAGAAGCCCGAAGATCTTCTTAATGAAGAAGATTGTAATGATGAAGAAGGAATTCTTCGTTCTTTTTCGAGTCTTCCTTCTGAAGGTGCTACTTTAAACATGTTATCGAGTGATACAAATGATAACGAGGTTGAGACGACGATTAAGTCTTGTGTCTTAGTCCCTAAGAAGACTAAGAACAAGAACAAGATTTTCGTTTCTAAGTTTACGTCTTTTTTTACTAGGACGTTAAGTAGTAATAAGTCCGGAGATAATAGTAATAGTAATAGTAATAGTAATAGTAATCATCGTTCTGCCACGACTCTTGGGTCGAAGGTTGTTGGTACGTTGTTTGGGTTTAGACGTGGTCATGTTCACATTGCGTTTCAAGAAGATCCGAAGACGACACCGGCTTTTCTCATCGAGCTTTCGACTCCGACTAGCGTTCTAGTGAGGGAGATGGCTTCAGGGTTGGTGAGGGTAGCATTGGAATGTGACAAGAAGGTTGATAAAAAAGGGGTGAAGTTGTTAGAGGAGCCACTTTGGAGGGCTTATTGTAATGGGAAAAAGTGTGGTTATGCTATGAGGAGGGAGTGTGGACCGCACGAGTGGCGCGTGTTGAGGTCCGTTGGGCCGATAACGATGGGGGCTGGTGTTTTGCCTAGGGAAGGCGGTAGCGAGGATGATGGGGATAGTAGTGATGGTAGTGGAGGAGGAGGTGGTCAACACGGCCGTGCAAAGGCGGAAGGGGAGCTTATGTATATGAGGGCTAAGTTTGAGAGGATTGTTGGGTCTAAGGATTCTGAGGCATTCTATATGATGAACCCTGATGGAAATGGGGGTCCTGAGTTGAGTGTTTATTTGCTCCGAGTTTGAGGTATTTTTGGTCATGCATGAATTTGGTATAAACATTAGGGATTTATAATGTTTTTGGAGATATGAAATGAAATGAAATGTTGTTGTTATTATATGTATCACCTAAGGTTTTAAAAAAAAAAATAGACTTGGATCATCAAATGAAATCTATGGTAGCTCTTGTTATATGCTAAATTCATATCATTGGCCATCTTGTTGGGATCTTGTTATTTTAAGTACGTATAGCTTCATTTTGTAGTCCCTCTCCTTTTCAAATGAAATCTATGGTAGCTCTGCTATTACAATGATTATTCCATTTTCATGTTTTTTTAACTATAATTAATGTCAATTCACGTGTTAATTTTAATAATTTGTTCGAATTAAATACACTTGTTATATACTACATTAATAAGTGGAAATAAGATGATAGTGGAATATCAGCTTATATTCACTTTTTATTGGTATAAAAGAAGCTTTTTAGTTTTTACTTGTTGTCCATTGAGTTGTCCATTTTGTGGGATGTTAAAGTGGAGTTAAGTTATCAAACTAAGTAACAAATCAAAGTGAGAAAGTAAAGGCAAATCTTTACAAAAATATCCACCTAGTTTGGTGAGTGACATTGAAGGAATTTTCGAGAGAGATTTGAAATGAATCTTGGGAGTTGGTGGCAGACCAGTTCTATCGTAAATTGCTTCATATCTTTGACAAGGCGATCCGCGTGCAACTTAATTTTGAGTTTAGTGGTATTAGTACTCCACTTCATTACATTTTTTTTTGTTTAAAAGAGCATATAGCTTTGGTGAAGATGGTTCTAGATGAATATAACTTAAACACTCAAAATTTCTTCTACAGATTGATTTTGGATAATACTCTATTCATATCAATATTGTTTCAATTTTGTAAAAAAGTAGATGAAATCGTGTGATGCACGATTTATTTTTATTTTTTAAAATAAATTTTTATTTTTTGTATTTATCTAATATTTCCTCCGTTTTTTAGTTGACACGTTTCTTTAAGAGAAGGAGAGAGAGATTAGGACAGAGAGTGGTTAATAGGAGGTTTAATTGGAGGGAAAAGAGAGTTGATTTAAGAAGAAAAGGGGGGTGTAATTAGAAAATTAGAAATCAGTGACATGCACATGTAGGAAAACAGGTGGTCAATGCCAAAAAACATTAGTCAATGTCGGAAAGTGGGACTTGGCTGTCTTGAACAAAAAAAAATTTAAACATTGGTTTCTCCGGGCCAAAAAAAAATTTAAAAGGTTTTTCTGAACAGATTGGTCAGTTTAAAAGGTTTTTCTAAACAAATTTATTTATGTGGCATATGAATTATTTAATTCTAAAAGAATTTACAAATATCATTTTTGATTGCTTATAACTAAAGTTATAATCCTATATGGCGCATTAAGAAAATTTGATCCCACGTGACTTCCTAAAAACTCGAAAAAAAACTCCCCTTTATATATATTTTATTTTATTTTGGTTATTCAGATCAATTTTTTGACACCTCTTTCTAAATCGACATTGTCATATACTTTGTATAATTATGTAATATGTTGTTGGATATGTTACAAAGTCTACTTTTCTAATAATAATAATTGGGTTTGTATATTTGTGTGCAAAAAGAGTGCTAAGGCACTACTTTATGCCACCCCAACACGGTTAGTACATAACTACATACACACTATTTTATTCAAAATTACAAAATACAAATGCCTTGCAAAAATAATAGCAATTGGTTTGTTTCTTAGTTTTGCTCTATTCAGTTGACGACTCTATTCTATCATTCTATACAATACCACGTGATCCACTTATACTGTATTCTTAATTTCCCCAAAATCATTACGTTTTATTTATTGGGATATGCAACCCTATCCCGGCACACCTGAAAAGAATAAGGGTCTGTCAACTTAATTTCAGTTCAGTTCATTTCAATTTCTAATTTTCTTCTTTTATAAAATATTCAGTCCAGTTCAGTTCAGTTTACTACCAATCAGTTCAGTAAATCAGAACATGCCCTTAAAGTGAAGAAATTGTTATAAGTAGAAGCACATTTCTATTAGTATGAGATTTTTTGGAAGATGCTAAAAAACTAATGTGAAGTAGAGTGTGCATGCAACCCAACAAGATGCGTGACGCAGGCTCGCGTCAATTTGCCAACATACTCCCTTTGCTTTATAACGACGCGTGCAAAATTTTGAGCAATAATATCTTTAATTATCAATAATTATAATTTTTTTTACAATTGATATTAATAATTTATTCATTGTGAACATTCCAAGTATCCACAAAACTATATATATTTTTTTCTTATGTATGGTTCACAAACATCTATCAAAATATGAATAGTGCCAAAAAACTGAATAGGACACTTAAAAAAATAAAAAGAGTAATTTGCGATTACTTTTAAATCAGTTCACTTCGATCCAAAAGAAAGGGCCTAAGAAGCACCAACATTACGAAATGGGTTTAAGAAATTAGGGACACAAACCCAACACTTTGACATGTTTATACTTGTAGATTTATTTATTTAATACCAAATTATCAATTGTAGTTATATTTGGCATTTTTATGCTGAAGATGGATTTTTAGAGTAGCATAGAAGTTTTGTGTTTGATTTACTAATTCCATCATAATACTGCTCGAGAGTTTGTCTATCTCATGGTCGTACAGTAGCTTTAACACTCCTCACAATTATGACATATTCAGCCTACAAGCTGCTTTGGTGTTATGGTTTATTTCAATTATCTGGGCATGATGCTCACACGGGCCCGTAGTTGGGCAGGGTAGGAGGTAGGTGAGGTGAGATGATCGCTTTAGGCCCAATATCGAAAAGCCCAAGTTCAATTAAAAGGATCCTTAAACCAAATAAAGGAAAAATTAGAAAATAACACCACAAATTTCACAACAAATGGATTATAACACTACAAAATCTCAAACTTTAATTATAACACCACAAAAAAAATCAAAAATTGATTTCACCACCATCTAACAAATTCTTGGATGGAATCCGTTAGTGGGGCTCACTGTAAACACATGTCACTCAGCGATTTGTTTTTAAAAAAAATTAATTAAAATTAAAACCCCTTACCTCCCGCCGGAACCATCTGATCTCCCGCCAAAAAAGCCAGTACCAACGACTCCATAATCTCCTCTCCCCAAAAACTACCAGCCTCACAAAGTCACATCTCCAACAAAATAACAACACCAAACTAGCCCACACAACCACCTCCACCACTCCACACACAATCAAATCGCACCTAGCCCATTTGAACCACCAAATTTGACCGTGCACCAGCCTCCATAATCAGCCCCGATGAATTCGATCCACCAGCCGCGCCATTTAGATCTCTACATTCCACAACTCACAAAACCCTAACCACCACCAAAACGGCCAATAACGTTTGAAATTTGTCGGTGTAGTGCGTGGGTGATCAAATTCAACCCTAAATCGATCCATAATTTTCGATTCCGAGGGTTGTGGGTGTGTCAGAATCGGAAATAATGAAGTTCCGGTGGGGAAGGGGTTGAACCGGTGTTGAGGATGGGGTGGCTGAAGTTAAATTTGGGATTTTTATTTCTTTTTTTTAAAACCAATAATATATGAGATGTGGCAATGTAGACCCCACTTAACGGATTTCATCTAAGAATCCGTGGAGAAATTTTTTTTTTTTGTGGTGTTACAATAAAAGTTTTTTTTTTTTTTGTGGTGTTATAATTCAAATTATGATTTTTTTGTGGTGTTATTTTCTAAAGAATCCTAAAATAAAATAACATGTTTATCATGTTTGTAATTTATTATAAAAAAAATTATTTTCAATGTGATCCATATTCTTTTTAACTTTTGGATTAAAATGAACATGTCTTTTGAATCTGAACTACATATTCATTGGTTTGGATGTGAAGATTGAACATGTTCTATGCATTTAAACTACATATTCTTTATCATTTTGGAGTCATATACATTCTTTTTATTGAAATTTTTATGTTACACCAGGATGTAATATATGCATAGTGTACGCAGAAAAACATTATGCATATATATAAACAACACGGATTCACCTCCTTCGATGAAATAAGTGGTCGGAATTTGTCATTTTAGGCACGCATCGCACCTTACACCATACTTGGTTGTGTTTTGGCTACTATGAAAAGTCCAGGTTGCTCAGTGCACCTAAGTCATACTTTAGGGTGTTACGACCAATTTTCCTATAAACTACTCCCTTCGTCCCAGTAACTGTAGCTGGACTTCTTGTCCCCACGAGAAACTGTTGGGGATTTTGTGTTTAACAAGGGTCACAAAGAAAGCAAATGAAATAAACTGGTAAAATCTTCGAGGCGTGAACGAGATCACTTTTCCAAAAATATAATTCCGACCCTATACTACAACCGGGTTTCACGGAAATTTACTTAGGAGATACAACGAAGAACAATTGCAATCACAAGTAGGATGATTATAATTCAATGTAGATAAGTGTATGTGATTTGTGATGATAATGATTAATGAACTTTGCAAACTAGAAAATGAAAAGGAAGAAGTTACTGTTCCTCATTTTTCACTCCCAACTTCCATCATATATATATATATATATATATATATATATATATATATATATATATATATATATATATAAATATAATTATAGAACAAAAAGCCATCAACTTAACCGTCAACAAGCAGCAATTAAATCCGAAAACACTTGGGCCCGATCGAGCGACGACCTTTCGATCGGGCGAGCATAATCTGATGTGATTTCATGTGTGCGGGCTCGATCGAGCGGCTGCTGCCCGATCGGGTGGCTGGGTAGCAATAAAACACCACACACACGGGCCCGATCGAGCTTCCATGGCCCGATGGAACTGCACAACAACATCTTTCTTGTTTCAATTGAACAAGTTGTGCTGCTGCCACTTGATTATGTTCTTGCTCTAATTCTTGTTTAATTAATTGCTACACCTTTGCCTAAGCAATCTAATTAAACAACATGGATTTTGTCACCAATACTCTAAATAATTCAACAGAAACTTGATGATTTATTCCCTTACAAATTATTGCTACATGTACAAAATATCTTCACGTATAAAACACTGTTATCTTACTCCTTACAAAACCAACAATTAAATCATTCTCTTGATTGTCTTAACTTATGTGTACCTTTTCTTTTCAAAAATAATAAAAACATCCTAACATTCTTAATCCCGAACTTGTTTAATGACCACCGGGACTGTGAAGTGGTTTAATGATGTAAAGGGTTTTGGATTCATAACCCCCGATGATGGCGGTCCTGATGTCTTCTTTCATTTCAGTGAAA